CCRWKCSYWTTTMYARRTACAGCCGAAAAAAAAATGTGTAAAATAAAAATAAAATTGAAAGGTGCGTCTTTCTTATAACGGTTTTGAATCAGTCCACACAAGCAACATTGTTTCAGTTCAACCTAGGAAATTTTAAGAGAAATTAATGGAAAAAAGAGATTCGCGAAATGTTTCTTTGCACGACTCTGAATTCATACAAAGAAACATTGTCATAGGCGCGAGGTTCAAGACAAGAATTTCATTCCTTTGCGCTGAAGCCACGTACCCAACGCTTCAGCTGAAGCGTTTATTAGTCACGAAGGCTGCAATGCTAATTGTGGCAGAAGGTTACATCTCTACGTGAACAGCAGCCAATACGACTCAAAACCGCTCGAGGCAAAGTGTGTTATCACTTAATTTAATGGTTCTTGACAATCAATCTCACGTGTTTTTATTTTCGCTTCTGATTTCTAAAGAACACATGATGTTACTATGCAAGTACGTTTTCAGTTTGACAATGCTCTTGACTGAAGCTGACCTCAATCTTTCGCTTCATTGAGTTTTAGCTGATTCGTGCAGACTATTCGAAAATTATAATTTGGAATGGACTAACGAAGATTGAACAGGATCATAATAGGACTTTCAAACATTGCTTATGGTTGCGGGAAAACGAAAATGGTTGCTAAGCGCAAAGATATAAAGATGATAACTAGAGACGAATCCTCACGTTTGCCCGTCACATTGTAACTTTTCTTAGGTTACAATAAATTTTATCATCTGTTGTGATATTTTTATTACTTTTTGTTGCATCGCACGGGATTGTGCTTCTCATTTAGAGGCTGAAGCTAGACCACATACTCACTTTTTTATCAACTCTGACTGACACTCTCTCTTTCATTTAAAACAAACTAAAACTATTAGAATGAATGAAATGCCACGAATATTTTCCGAAGCAAGGACGGAAGACACGTCTTTTCAGACCTGAAGATTTTCCCCAATCAACTTTCTTCACGCAAACATGATAGCACAAATGTCAACTACTTGCTTTTCATCGCACGCTGATGAAATCAACAATCACGATCCTACCGGTTCGACAAGGTCGCCACAGCATGAAAGATTAACATCTCAATGCTTTCAAGTACGTGGCAGGATTTTGGACTCCTGTGCCGTAAATCGTGATGACCAAAGGGAAAGAATTACTCTAATTTTGCGCTCGTATCGCGAACTAAGGCCGCCTCCTGAGCCAGACTCTTATAAGGAAACTAAATTATCAAGCTATCCTCCCAATTTGCTTAAAATATAAATCAAAATTAAACACTTCATTTCCGATTTCAATCAATCAAATTTCTACTCATATGCATCGATGCAAATTGTTTTAGCTCTACGAACCAGACAGTATTTCAGAAAAATAAACTGAAGGAAAACCTCATCTAAGCCCAAAATTTTCTACTCAAATAACTATATTAGAAAAGGACCGAAGGCTGGGGTACCATCGTATTATAAACTGAAGATGATAACAGCGTAAAGTGTAGTCACACCACATAACCAACCGTCTGGAGAGCCGATAAGTAATACCTTAGGTAAACACTCTGCAATGCGCTTCTCTCCCCCTTTAATCAAAAGAATCGTGAAAAAGAAGAAATTTTTGATAGATTTGGACACAAAATCAAAGGCGGTGATAAGATACTGAGTACAGATTTATGCTGAATAAAAGCTGCCCCCAAATTAAAATTTCATAATTAAAAAACATCAGTTTCGTGAATAATCGAGGTAGTTCAAACGATGCATTCTCCTAGCCATTGATCACAACAAAGTTCTGATTTATCTAGTAATCTAGGCATTTTCTAATTTAGAAACCCTTTCGAACCGACCACTATGTACAAAAGGATCGAAATTTCGCTTTGCCGGACGATCATATTGAAAACTCCGAGGAACGACTGTAATTCATTTGAAACTGCTGCTGCTGTTTTCTATCGTAACACTTCCCTCTTAATCTGGAACAAGAATCTTTTTTCGTAAAATTCTATCACATTTTAAACTTGCTAAACAAACGCTTTCTTTCTTCGTTCAACATCCCCTTTCCGCGTTCCACTTTTTCCACATCCTGATTTTACAACGGAAGTCACGAGGAAATGAGATGCATAATTGAGAAACAATATCATCATTTCAATGGGCAAATAGCCACAAGTGTGCGCTATTTAAATTTCGCGTGTTTCGTCCGAAGCCAATTCACCTTAGTTCTCTTTGTAGCAGCTACAATTTGGTACAAAGCAAGTATTCCCTAACGAGTACAAGATGGCAAGTAACCTCATAATTACATCCCTGATCCTTGCTGTTGTATTCGTCAGTTTAGTGCAGAAAGGTAAGTCACGAAACGAAATAATAAGGTTCCTTTGCTACAACGGTGACAGTTTTAACTGTTTTACCTTTCATTTCTATTATGTTCTTCTCTTAAGACTTTTGACCGTTTATAAAGCTAGCGGTTATTCTCACAAATGGCTTTGTTCGAGCCAAACGATGAGAAATTTGTATGTATCAGCGTTTCGGAAATCGACCTAAAATAGTTGCACATTTCTCCTGAAAACCGGAAACGAATAAACATCACATCGCAAATTCGAAGGTTTGGAGTTCGATTCCTTATCAAAGACCTTTTTTTTTCTTTTTCCCCTGCTCGAGACTATCTTTTTCACGTTATGGTATTTCGTTCGAACGACGGAGATCTACTCGCAAAATCTTCTAGCCTGTCACTTTCTCATACAGCCACCCTGTTTGTGTGTTGAGACGCAATAAGGAAATCGAATGAAATGTATGACGGTTACGAATAAAGCACCAAATGATAATCATTTTCCACGCGTGCTGGTCCGAAAATCTCAAAAAACATCGCAATCTTAAAACCACAATTAGGTTAAACTAAATGCAAATCCATTGAAATTCCGTGGTTTTTTTTCTTTCTTCTTCGAGACATTAAAATCGCCTTTTTCGGAATTACTCTCGACCTTTTGGCATCATGTGTAAGAGGTGTTCTTTTCCTCCTTTAGAGTCCAAACTTATTCAGTTAAAGGCGTTATTAACAGCTTGAATCGGAGAGGCAAAAGAGAAAAACAAGCAAAAAAAGAAAAAGTGTTTTCGCTCGGTTCACCAGCATTTTACTAACTTGAGAACCTCAAACAACGATATTCTTCAATGTTTGCCGCTTTACCTCGTATGTATCTCGCATTTCTTGACATTTGACCAGTGATCGCACAGTTTCACAACTACAGTAAATAAGAACCTTATTTTTTGGCAGTCTTGCAAAAAAGGTTCTTGTTTAAAGGGGTAGTTGTTTGTAATTTTGGCAAAACAGATTCTTAATTAGGTTCTTAATTGCTAAGAGGGGGATACAGTTGTCATTGTTTTGCATATATATCATAAGAATGATAAATAAGCTTTATACGGGCTAAAATTATATATAATACTGTATAATTGTAACTTTCAACTCCTGTAACAAGTAAATAACACTAAATTGTGCTATTTCTATACAACTAACTATATAGCATATATAGTGTTTGCACTAGTGTATTATATTGGGCATTTTGTGTAAATTATCTTCTATTTCTTTTACACACATCAATAAATTGAGTAACTTTTGGTTTGTTTATCCTGTAATTTATCTGTAACCCATATTATAAGAACCTGCTTGATCATTTTTGGCTAAACAGGTTCTTATTTAAAGGGGTATTAGAATGGCAAATTTCTGCCAAGAGGTTCTTAATCCACTAGGTTCTTATTTTTGGGTGTTTACAGTAGTGCGTGACCAAGATTCGTCACGCAATGCTTTGTGAGAAAAGAAAATAATCCCAGAACTTTGAAGGACTTTATTCTTAAGTGAGAAATAGGGTTTAACACTTTTCCGAGAAGTGGTAGACTCTATTCTTCTATTCTAAACAACTGATACGAGAAATGCGCGCGAATCACTCAGTGATTCGAATCACGTGACCTCTCGGAGCGGAATCTCGGAGTGCGAGAG